TTCACTTTCCTGTAAAATTCTCTTATGTCTCTTTTTAGTTAATCCACCTCCCCACCCCTTCCCACACCACCCCCGAACGCCCCTGCATCACAGACAGACATCTGTGTTCTTTGGCTATTATGAACTAAAGCTGCTGTGAACATTTTGTACAAGTCTTTTTGTGGACATATGTTTTCATTTTTTGCCAGGTGTATTCATTTCCTATTGCTGCTGTAACAAATCCACACATATTTAGGGTTCTAAAACAACACAAATTTAGGGACTTCCCTGGTGGTCCAGGCGTTAAGATTCCATGCTCCCAAAGTAGGGGAGGATTCCTGGTGAGGGAACTAAGATTCCATATGCCACAGGGGATAGCCAAAAAAAGAAAAACAACAACAACACAAATTTCTCGTTAATATCTTAACTGTTCCAGGGGTCAGAAGTCCTAAATGGGTCAGGAGAGTTGTTCCTCTGGCTGCTTTGGGGACAATCTCTTTTCTTGTTGTCTCTAGCTTCTGGAGGCCACTTGCATTCTATGGCCCCTTCCAACATCTTAAAACCAGAATCTTTAACTCTCTCTCCCTTGGACCTCTACTGCTGTCTTCACCTCATTTTCTCTGGCCTCTGACTCTCCTGTCTCCTTCCTTCCCTTCTAAGGACATTTTCGATTACTTTGGAGCCACCCAGATAATGCAGGCTAATATCCCCATCTCGAGATCCTCAATCACATCTGGAGGGTCCCCTTTTCTATGTAAGGTAAGTTATTCATGGGTTCTGGGGATTACAATGTAGGCATGACTTTGATTGGGACTGCTTTGAATATACACATCAAGTTGGGGAGGATTAACTTCTTAACACTCTTTCAATTGATTAATACGGTTTATCTCCCCATTCATTTAGATCTTCTTCAGTCTCTCTCTACAATGTTTTATACTGTTTAGTGCAAAATGTTTTGTTAAATTTATTCCTAAGGATTCTTATGGTATTTTAAATGGAATTGTATTTTAATTTGATTTTCTCATTGTTTTCTCCTGGGATATGAAAAAGCACTGATTTTTAACCTTTTAAATGAAAACATAATGAACATACAATAAAATGCAGGTTTTAGATACTCGGTTCAATGAGTTTTGACAATTGCATACTCCTGTATAATCGCTGCCTAAAACAGGACATAAAACATTTTTATACCCCCAGAATGTTTTTTCTGCCCTTTTCCAGACAATTCCTTCCTCAGCCCTCCTACAACCAGAATCAGATTTCTATCATCACAGATTAGTTTGGTCTGTATTTATATTTTGTAGAAATGGATATATATATAATATACATGCTTTTTTTTTTTTTTTTTTGGCCATACTGCATGGCTTGTGGGATCCTGGTTTCCCAACCAGGGATCAAAACCTGTGCCCCCTGCAGTGAAAACCCAGAGTCCTAACCACTGGACTGACTGCCAAGGAGTTCCCAACATACACTTTTAAAAATGAGTAGCTTCTTTCACTTATAATGTTTTTGGAATTCATCCATATTGTTGCATGTGTCAGTAATCTGTTTTATGATTGAGTAGTATTCAGTTGCACAAATATACCATCATTTATCTATTTTCCTTATGACATGTGGGCTACTTCCAGTTTGGGGTTATTACGAATAAGGCTACCATAAACATTCTTATATAAGTTTTTGTGGACATTTATCTTCACTTCTATCGAGTAAACGCCTAGGAATGGAATTGCTGGGTCATAGGCTAGGTCTTGGAGAAGGCAATGGCACCCCACTCCAGTACTCTTGCCTGGAAAATCCCATGGATGGAGGAGCCTGGTAGGCTGCAGTCCACGGGGTCTCAAAGAGTTGGACATGACCGAGCGACTTCACTTTCACTTTTCACTTTTATGCATTGGAGAAGGCAATGGCAACCCACTCCAGTGTTCTTGCCTGGAGAATTCCAGGGATGGGGTCGCACAGAGTCGGACACAACTGAAGCGACTTAGCAGTAGCAGCTAAGGTCTAAATTAGTAAAAATTTTCTAAAAGTTTCTTCAGAGCGGTGTTTCATTGTACAACTGGCACACAACCCTTGTATCAGAGTTTCTTTCAGTTGCTCACATCCTAGCCAACATTTAGTGTTGCAAGTCTTTTTTATTTTATTCATTCTAATGAGTGTGACATTGTATCTCATTGTAGTTTTATAGTTACCTAATAATAATGATCTTAAGCACTTTTCTGTGTGTTCCCTGGGCATTTTTGGGTCTTATTTTGTGAAGTATCTGTTCAATTACATGTTCCATTTTTTAAAAATTGGGGTGTTTGGGACTTCCCTCATGGTCCCATGGTTAAGAATCTGCCTTCTAATGCAGGAGACATGGGTTTAATTCCTGAACAGGTTCAAACCCTGGTCAGGGAACTAAGATCCCTCATGCCATGGGGCAACTAAGCTGCTTGCCACAAACTACTGAACCTATACACCACAATGAGAAGCCCACATGTTACCTGAGGCACCCAAATAAATAAATATTTAAAAAATAAATTAGAGACATAATGGCAGAGGAGGAAGCTAGAAAGACAACCAAAATGACCAGAATTTGGGGAATTCTGTCATGTGAAGATTAACTACAACTAACTGAAGTTCCATATCTTCTGTGTCCAGGGCTTAGTGAAATGCCAATAACATTACAGGCATACCTCGGAGATATTGCTGGTTCAGCTCCAGGCCATGCAATAAAGCAATTTTTCAAGATTGCAAATATTGCAAAAGTCACAGGAACTTTTGTTTTTCTAGGGCAAATGTTCATACTATAATATAATCTATTAAGTGTGTAATAGCATTATGTCTAAAAAACAATGCATATACCTTAATTTAAAGTTACTTCATGAGCTTCCCTGGTGGCCCAGTGGTTAAGAATCCACCTTGCAATGCAAGGGACATCGACCAGGTTCGATCCCTCCTCCAGGAAGATCCCACATGCCACAGGGTAACTAAGCCCATGAGCCACAACTACTGAGCCTAAGCTCTAGAGCCTGTGCTGTGCAACAAGAAAAAGTGAAAGTCGCTCAGTCATGTCTGATTCTTTGCGTCCCCAAGGACTATATAGTCCATGGACTTCTCCAGGCCAAAAAACTGGAGTGAGTAGCCATTGTCTTCTCCAGGGGATCTTCCCAACCCAAGGATCAAACCCAGGTCTCCCACATTGCGGGCAGATTCTTTACCATCTGAGCCACAGGGAAGCACTATGCTCTGCAACAGGAGAAGCCACTGCAATAAGAAGCCCAGACACCGCAGTATGAGAGTAGCCCCTGCTCACTGCAACTGGAGAAAGCCTGTGAGCAGCAATGAAGACCCAATGCAACCAAAAAAAAAAAAAAAAAAAAAAGCCTTATTACTAAAAAATGCAAACCATCATCTGAGCGTTCAGCAAGTCATGACAGTAACTTCAAAGATCACTGATCAAAAAAAAAAAAACAAAAAACAAACAAAGATCACTGATCATAGTATAATGAAAAGCTTGCAGTATTTTAAGAATTACCAAAATGTGACACAGAGACAAGTGAGCAAATACTGTTGGAAAAAAGTTGCTCAATGCAGGATTGCCACAGTCCATCAATTTGTAAAAAGACAAAAACAAAGTAAAATAAATCGAGGTATGTTTGTAGTTACAATGTATTGTGTGACTACTATGTGCCAGCTGTCAAATGCATTTATTTCTATTTTAGAGGGGTATAAATTATGTAAATGAATTCCAACTTAGGTTTGTTTAGCTTCACATCCTGATCTTTTTGGACTATGCTGCTGCTGCTGCTAAGTCACGTCATTTGGGTCCGACTCTGTTCAACACCATTGACGGCAGCCCACCAGGCTCCTGTCCCTGGGATTCTCCAGGCAAAAACACTGGAGTGGGTTGCCATTTCCTTCTCCAGTGCATGAAAGTGAAAAGTGAAAAGTGAAAGTGAAGTAGCTCAGTCGTGTCTTCAAATCCTGATCGTGGCTTCAAATCCTGATCTTTTTGGACTATGCTGCTGCTGCTGCTAAGTCACGTCAGTCGTGTCCGACTCTTCGAGACCCCATGGACTGCAGCCTACCAAGCTCCTCCGTCCATGGGATTTCCCAGGCAAGAGTACTGGAGTGGGTTGCCACTGCCTTCTCCGTTGGACTATGCTAAACATACACAAATTTAAAAAAAAAGGGGGGGGGGGTAATAAGCAATTCACAAACAAATCCCGCACAGGATTTTCAGAACCTCCGGGGCATCCACATGGACTACTTTCGGTGTGGGCTATTAAGAACTTTCACAAGTCACACTCCTTTTATCTTGCTGGAGGGCTTCTGGCTGTATGTCTTTCCCTGGAGAATCTATTTGACATCCACAATATATCCTCCTCTTTTACAGCCCAAATGATGATGCCTTATGATTTGCACACTGTCTTTCTCACTCCTTTCTGGCCCTCCTGTATACCTAAAGAGGAAGCATTTGCCTTTTTGCACGATAAAGAGATGTAAGATAAAACATCTGTCCTTTCAATGAACTACACGACCCAGCCCATAGACTGTCAGAGATCTTGGATGTCAATGCAATGTGCACCACCTTTTGCCTCGTTTCTGTGCAGTGCTTAATCCCAGGCATCTCGAGTTGCACGCTCCATTGCGTTTAACAGCATCCTACTTTCTACCTTTAGACCTTCCGTCTCACCCGCTCCCTGATGGATGGGCAAGGCCAAAGACCAGGCGGCGTGACCTTGGGCAAATTCTCGCTTCCGCCTCTTTAGCTGAGCGGGGCAGCCCAGCACCCGCATCTTTTCCCCCTCCGCTTCCTCGAAGAGCGGCTCCCCAGTCCCTGCCCTTACGCTACTGGCGTAGTGGCCGCGTCCAGCCGCGGCGCCTTCTCATCCCAGACTCTCGTTTACGCCGCGCGGACTGGGAGGGCGCGATTCCCGAACGCGGCCAGCGCTGCGAGCGCGCGGCCGTCCCGCAGGCCGGCGCGGCCTTACGCCGCTGACGCAGCGCGCCCAAGATGGCGGCGCGGTCGTCGTCGAGGGGCCTCGGCCGGGGGGAATGAGGCGGCCGCGGCGAGCCAGCGGCGGAGCCGTGTAGCGGAGTAGCGGCTCCCCCTCCCTGCTTCCCTTGGCTGAGCCGGGGGCGCGCGCGCGCGCGCGGCCGTCCGGAACGGGCTCCCCACCCTCGACTCCCGAGACCCGCGCCGCACCCCCCAACCTGGGCCCGGAGGATGATGAAGCTCAAGTCGAACCAGACCCGCACCTATGACGGCGACGGCTACAAGAAGCGGGCCGCGTGCCTGTGTTTCCGCAGCGAGAGTGAGGAGGAGGTGAGGCGCGGGGCCGGCCCGGGGTCTCCGGGGTCGGTGGTCACCTCGGACTGAGGCGCGGGGCTGGGGGAGGCGGGAGGCGCGGCCCGGGCCCGGCCGCTCGGTTCGGCCCGAATGAAGTTCCGACGGAATTTCCTGAGGCGAGGGCGAGGGGGAAAGGGACGAGGACGGTGGGCGGAGGGGAAGTGGGTCTGAGGTTCGGGCCGATGGGGACGGCAGCTCTCGGCCGGGGCACTCGTGAGCGGGCCTCCTGTCACTGAGGAGAGAGGGGCGGCGGGCAGAAGGCGGTGGCCGCGGAGAGCGCGCGGCGTTCGGGCCGGGCCTGCGGCTTGGGGTCCGGGGAGGGCAGCCCCGCGCTTGTGTCAGGCCAGCCCGGCACATGGGTGTGTGCAGGAACCGCCGTGCACGCGGCGCGGGGCCGGCCCTTTGTGGCGGAGAAAGCCTCCACTTCATTGGCAGGTTCGGGGTTTGCCGAGGGATTATGTACGTCTGGGAGCCCGAGGCGGTGGGGGGAGCCTTAGGAAGATTTAGGGCGTTGTGCAAAAGCCAAAGCCAGTTGTTTGTTTTCCACTGCGCTGGGTAGTCCATATGGTGTAAGCCTGCGAAGAAAGGACAATTTGATAAGATAATCTTTGTGGGTTGAAACTTTTTTCATTTTAATTGGGAAAGCCAAAATCGGTCTTTTAAGATTCTTTGCTCCGACATTCCTCCATTGCCCTAGGAAGATCTTTAGGATTAAATTTGCTTGCAAAATAGAAATGCTTAGAATCTGCACAGGGTACTTAAAAAAAAAAATCTCTAAACTCCTCAAAGCCGTTTCTCTGGTGATAAAGGGAATTCAGAGAAGGCGAATGTTTTTTTGTAAATCCTCAAAGAATAGCTGCTTTGGAAATTCATAAGATGCTTGTGGGAACGCGTTCCTCTCGTGTGTATGGTGGTAAAATGGCAGTTAAACTGGGAACAATGAAGGACAGTGAAATTCAATATGCTGTATTCCAGCATTCAGCAGTGGGCTATCGTGGCAGGGCTGCAAGTACAGTACATCGTGTTGAAATGGAGAGAAAAGAACTTGACCCGTTAGTTATGAAAAGAAGCTGTGATGAAAGACAGATGGGTTGCCAGAAGTTGCTGTCCAAAGATATTTAGGAGGAAGTGGAAATTTATTGCCTGGGAAAAAAAAGTTGATAAAAGCACTGTAATTGTACTGTTGAGAGATTTTGTGTGTTCCTTTCAGTGAAACAGTAGGAAACTAGATTTGTATACTTTGTGTCCAAGAATATATTGTAAAAGTCCTCAAAACAGATGCATTGTAATAACTGTTAGGCAGTGCCTTGCTGTAAATTGTGCACTGTTTTGGAATACATACTTGCATAAAGTAAAATGACTGGTGATGTTTACTGCCCCAGAGGCTTTGTTCTCCCCATTATCATGTCGTATTATGGGAAATCAGATGGGATCACAGGCTGTTAATTGGAGGGAAAACTAATTAGCATAATAACATGTCTTACTGCAGTAATATGGTTAAATCTGTGGGAACCCCAATTATAAGTAGAAGGGTATATAATTGCATGAATGATGCAAGACTTTACATGTTAAATAAATCATACTAGGAATTGAGAACATGTGAATATTTTGGATAAATTGGAAACCCTTTATGGATCATAAGCAAAGTAAAGAAGACTTGATTTTCTATTTTCTGTTGAAGGTTTATTATATATCGGTACAGGCAGCATTGATGTTAAAACATTTGACTGATCATGAAGTTTCCTCTACTGAATTTCTTTTTGAACATTGGTTAATGAGCAGAAGATTCATGCAAATCTTTAATTACAGATTTAGTAGATAATACAGCTAAAGCCTAGGAAGAATAAAATTAATGAAATGGGTGTATTTTAGATTTGTTTAAACTCACATGTGTTAAGAGCCTACTATATTGGTGCAGCATTCTGTAACATGGGATTTAAAGATAAACATCCCTCCTTGTCCCAAAAAGTTGAGTGGTTTTTTATTGGAACCCTTAATTGGGAGGGATTTTGGACCACAGAATAATCTCTAGGGTGCCATTCAATTCTCAGATTATATAATTGTGTTGGAAGGGAAGTAATTTGTTAGTTCCAGGAGAACTTTTATGTTCTCAATAGTAGTGCCAGAAACTGGAAGCATTAGCTGCCATGCATTGCAGGAATGTGAAATTCAAACTCAATAGGACATTCAACCCAATTTTATTTTTTAATGAGCACTAATGGCTTTAATCAAGATAGAATAATTTACAGAATACTATCAATATTAGCATTAAAACAATAATAATGTGAGTATGAATAGGACCCTGATTTATAAATTTAGTTAACCAGTGTCAGGAAGCATACTTAAAATGTAAAGAAAAAGAGATGGAAAATATTAGCAGATAATAGACCATGAGTCAAACCTTCTAGCATTCCATTTTTCCAGCCCCAGAAAATTTTATTTATAGGCCAGCAGTGATAGCAGCTGAGATACTGATCCAGGTTGGGGTGTGTGAACATATTCAGCAAGTTTACTGAGCAGCTTTATTGAGCACTCATCAAATGTCAGGTTCTGTGATACAGTTACAAAGGAGACAGGCAGGCAGGAAGCCTAGAGGGGCAGACTCAACAACATGATGAAAATGAGTTCTCTTTCCTTCAAATCTCTGTTTGCTTTTCCTGTTGATAAACAAGCATCAATAGCAGGAAAGTTCCCCTCCTTAGATGTTTTGCTAATTATGGTGACATTCTGATAAATTAAGACCTTTAGGTTGGGGCGTTGGTGATGATTAGCGTTTCTTACAGTGAACCTGGTGTAAGTGGACAGTCTCTTGCCCAGCCTCCGCTGTAACCACTTGGTACACTTGCCTCTACTCTGTGAGGGGCTGGTCCTGACAGGTTCCAGACCATGTGGCCTCCCAACCAGTTGTATTGATCCCTGTATTTGTTTATGTTTTTTGTAATATATTCATTGTAGTTATCTCTCCATCTGTGTGTATTTGTTGTAATACACTGAAAATTGTAATTATGCAGTGTAATTAAGTATGACATCAGTTGGTGAAATTTGAGTTCAAAAAGAATGGTTTTTGAAAAATATTTCAAATGTTTTGGAATGATCCAGTAATTTCAAGTTATTGAAAAAAAATTGCTGCTCGATTAATATGGATTTGAAAACTAAAAAAGATGGAGAAGAAGTCTTAAAAGTCTAGATGGACTCTGCATATAGATCACTTCATGAATATTTTCAGGTTTTTGTTTTTCTTCTTAGAAAACTGAAAATTACAGGTCACACATGGTGGGCATAGTGTATGAAAGACAACTTGCATTTCAACAGTAGATCCACAGTCAAGATATGGACTGACTACATCATGACTGACAAAGATTAGCAAATAAATATACTTTATTTGTTTACTTACTCATTTAAGCTGTGCAGCATGGTGGATTCTTAGTTCCCTGACCTGGGATGGAACCTGTGCCCTATGAAGTGGGAGCATGGAGTCCTAACCACTGGACTGCCAGAAAGTTTCTGCATTTATATTTTTAATCTGCCATATCTTCCAATTAATATTTTATCATAAACATTACAGAATACTGAAACATTTCTTGAGTAAGATTTTATTACACTAAATTGGGTATAATGACATTCATCTTTGTCATGGTGTTCACCTTGGGCCTTGCTAAAGCACTTCCAGTGAAATCATCTCTCTTACTTCCTTTCCTTTCCTACTTTGGAGCCTCCGTGATTACAGAAAGGGAGAGATACGGAAAGGGAGAGCAAGGGGTGGGCTTGCTTGTACTCTGCCCTTCCTGGCCTGGGGTAGGAGAGTGTGACACAGGCGTTTTAGACAGTTGAAATATCTAGTAATGTGAAATACTCCCCTGGAAAGGCTAGTGATACTGACTGTACATGGGGTGACATCTCAGTGCTTGGGAAAGTTGAAGTTGCTCCTCGGGGGTCTTTTTTTTCCTGAGGCAGAAAGGTAAGTGTTGATTTCCTTGTGCATTAAAACTTTTTATTTTTAAAAAATCTTTTTAAAAACAAAGAACAAAACTGTCCTTAAAGGTCTTAGTTTTGCTTGTTGAGCTTTTCCGCCAGGAGCCTGCCTCTTGGCGTGGGGTTCCTGGTTCTCATTTCCTCAGATCCTTGAGCTCACTAGGTTGGGTGAAGGGATGACTGATGTTGAAGACCCTCAGTGAGTGGAGACTCTGGTAGCCTGAGTGTTTGTCAGTAAAAATGCCCCCAGGGGAGCAGGTGAAAGGACCTTCCCCCAGGCTCCAGAGTGGGCAGTGAGGCTCAGGTGGCACTCCCAGGGGTGACAACCATGGTGAAGAGCTTCCAGTGGAGCCCAGGCCGGTTGGGGAGTCCTTTTGTAGCATATCTCGGGGATTGTACAGTATTACATTACTCTAGAGTCACCACGAGTGCATGGATCCAGCTGACTGGACATTTTTTTTTCTCATTTATTTTTATTAGTTGGAGGCTAATTACTTTACAATATTGTAGTGGTTTTTGCCATACATTGACATGAATCAGCCATGGATTTACATGTGTTCCCCATCCTGAACCCCCCCTCCCGCCTCCCTCCCCATCCCATCCCTCTGGGGCATCCCAGTGCACCAGCCCCGAGCACTTGTCTCATGCATCCATTCTGGGCTGGCGATCTGCTTCACACTTGATAATATACATGTTTCAATATTATTCTCTCAGAATACCCCACCCTCGCCTTCTCCCATAGAGTCCAAAAGTCTGTTCTATACATCTGTGTCTCTTTTTCTGTCTTGCATATAGGGTTATCATTACCATCTTTCTAAATTCCATATATATGCGTTAGTATACTGTATTGGTCTTTATCTTTCTGGCTTACTTCACTCTGTATAATGGGCTCCAGTTTCATCCATCTCATTAGAACTGATTCATATGTATTTCTTTTTAATGGCTGAGTAGTAGTCCATGGTGTGTATGTACCACAGCTTTCTTATCCATTCATCTGCTGATGG